CCGTTAGACTTATTTTATTATTTTTCGTTAGACTTAAGTAGTAAATATACAATTTAAAGAGCTAACTCGCGCAGAATTAATTCCTGATATAATATCAAAATTAAGATTCTAGAGCTGTTAGAAGCTTTTCTAATATAATAAAAAAATCAATATGTTTTCTGAAGTTGGAAAACCCATACAGAATTAAGAAAATATAATATCAAAATTAAGATTCTAGAGCTGTTAGAAGCTTTTCTAAGATAATAAAAAAAAACGATATGTTTTCTGAGATTGGAGAAGCCATACAGAATTAAGAAATATAATATCGAAATTAAGAATCTAGAGCCGTTAGAAGCTTTTCTAATATAATAAAAAAATCGATATGCTTTTTTGAGGTTGGAAAAGCCACACAGAATTAAGAAATATAATATCAAAATTAAGGTTCTAGAGCCATTAGAAGCTTTTCTAATATAATAAAAAAATCAATATTGTTTTTAATGTTCTGTGACCCACACACACAAAGTTTCAGTGGAGGTCGAACATTCTGTCCTCAAACCCCCACTTTCACATTGTGTCAAGTAGAGGTTATTATAAGTAAAATATGTAATAAAAAATATCAGCATAGAAGTTCAACAGGCATATTAATAGACCATTTAAGTAGTAAGCATCAAATAACTAAAAAAACAATTAAGCAAAATTATGTGATAAGAAATATAATAATTTAGTATTAATTAATTATTTAATATATTTTTAGCCTTAAAAATCTCATGAGTTAGAAATTACACCACATAAGGAATCTTGTCAAATTGAATTTCATAATTTATTAAATTTCAAATAAATAATATTGACAATAAATGCTGACGAATTTACATTGAGTTGAAAATTTGAATTTTTTCATAAATTAAATTTTAAATGAATAATATTGACAATAAATGCTGACATATTTACATTAAGTTGGAAATTTGAATTTTTTCGTAAATTAAATTTCAAATGAATAATATTGACAATAAATGCTGATGTATTTACATTGAGTTGGAAATTTGAATTTTTTCGTAAATTAAATTTTAAATGAATAATATTGATAATAAATACTGATGTATTTACATTGAGTTGGAAATTTAAATTTTTTCGTAAATTAAATTAAAAATGAATAATATTGACAATGTATTTACATTGAGTTAGAAATTTGAATTTTTTCGTAAATTTAATTTCAAATGAATAATATTGATAATAAATGTTGATGAATTTACATTGAGTTAGAAATTTGAATTTTTTCATAAATTAAATTTCTTGAATTACCCCAAATCTTGTGGTAAGTCTAAAGAAATTTTACAAATTAAAAATAATTGATATAATATATTAACATAATTTATATTAAAATATTTACAGCATTTTTATTTTTTCGCTCTTCAGTAAGAGCATCAGTTGCTGCTTTTGACTACTTTACTCGTGATGGACGATTAGTTGGAATAGGAGCAGGAGCAGAAGTAGAAGCTGAAGCAAAGTTTGATAATGAAGACATTATGAAAATAAAGAATAGTTTTATTAAAAAAAAAGAAACAAAAAATAAAAACTTCTTTTATATATTTGAATTATAATTATGTGTAAGAGTATTAAATTTCTAATACATCAGCATTTATTGTTAATATTATTCATTTGAAATTTAATTTATGAAAAAATTTAAATTTCCAACTTAATGTAAATACGTCAGCATTTATTGTCAATATTATTCATTTGAAATTTAATTTACGAAAAATTCAAATTTCTAACTCAATGTAAATTCATCAGTATTTATTGTCAATATTATTCATTTGAAAGGAATTTTGGGCAGATATTGCCCAAAATATTAATAATAAATGCAATACAAATTTTTCTGGTATTTAATGCCAGAGAAAATTTCCTCGTTAGTTGTCGAGTATGACGTAAGTAAAATGATAAAAATGGTAATAAAACAAAAAAATACATTATATATAAATATATTCTTTTTTTTCTTTTATTTAGAACTTAAAGTTGTTAAGGTCGGGGGATGCTAGAGGAAAAAAGAGCAAATTAGCCTTAGAATATTATGAAATTTTTAATACGCGTTTTTGGGATACTCCAAGTAAATATAAAGAATTTTATATTTATATTTTAATAAAATTTTTAATTTTACAATATATTTTTAAAATATTTTAT